ATGTATAATCCGCATATTTTTAATCTCTTCTAGAACATGGCGTTTAGCAGCCTACCGTCAGTTTACTTGGTGGGTTCATGGCGTACTGGGAAAAAAAAAACCGGCGAGTGATTCCAGCGTGCGTTGTGAAAGCAATTAGCAATGAATTTCCAGAGGAGAGTGGTGAATATGCCGGATTCAAACCGGCGGAAATCGATTTAAATTAAATTTTCGAGACAAGCAATCGTGGATTTTAGCATGCTTTATTGATATTGATTTCTACAAATTTATCAATTGCAAAAACAGTACTCGTCTTTGGCTAATACTCTTATATTGATCTCTAACATTAACCAGTTTTATTTTCCAGTAGTATACTGGTTCTTGTAATTATTTTTTCGATTTTCAGCAAGTTGTTCAATCCACCTTAGAATTATTTATAAGTAATAGCCGTGATCAAACCCAATATTCCTGGTTTGTTTTGAATAAATTTTGATTTGAAATTTGAAAGAAATGTATTGCTTGCTGTTGTTTCCAATGTATAGATTGGATGTCATGTTGGCTAATACCCTTTTATACTCTAAAATTGATACTCTTATATTGATCTCTAAAATTAACCAGTTTTATTTTCCAGTAGTATACTGGTTATAATTCGTTTTTTGATTTCCATCTTAGAAATATTTATAAGTAATAGTCATGATCAAACCCAATATGCATGGTTTGTTTTTACTAAATTTTGATTTGAAATTTGAAAGAAATGTATTGCTTGCTGTTGTTTTCAATGGATAGACAGGATGTCATGTATTTAAGAAAAAATTGTTGCTTTACATTTTTACTTGTCTGACATTTTCTTTGAAAAAATGTTAATCATCCATGATCACAGGTATTTCGATCATTTGATATATGACCTTGCATCTTGCCTATTTGAATAAGCACATGTTATTCAGTGTGGTTTTTTTTTTTAATTTTTTGCTATTGCTTTACGTAGTTACTAAGCAGTTTGCAAGCAACGCTTTTATGAAAGACTTTTTTATCAGTTTGGACATTTTTTCCATGTCAAATTATATGGAAGCTTACAGACACAGAGTAAATAACTCTTAGGAGTGTATACCACATGTAGTCTCAACCCAAACAAGCCATTTCTATTGAAAAAAATATTAATGATAATAGCTGTAATAATTGTTGAAGGGCTGAATGGGCAAGATGGCTTGTTATTATATTGTTCAGCACACCAACATCATTGCTTTAATTAACCTAAACTTGGCAACAGTTTGATTTGAAAGTTAATTAAATGAAAATAACTTTTCCCTGAGCAAACCACCAAAAAGGTAAGATTTTTTTGGTGTAAATGTACAAAAAAAATTGCAAAAAATGAGTTAACACATTGCCCGAAGCCCTTCAATAGCCATTGCATCAAATTAATTCAAGTATCAGAAAATCTAGATGTGTGCCTTGCAATAACGTGTGCTTTATCTGGTCGAGGGGTACACTCAACGTTGCGTGGAATATGTGGTGCTGTGAGAGTGGCACTTCTTTCAACAGCATCTTGACACTTCCTTTTGACAATTGCATCCAGCAATGGGCGTACATGATCCCTTGTTGTCTTCTCCATGATTGGCTTAGCAATCCACTCCTTACTTCTTTTGGGGAAGACCACCTTGAAACGAAGCTCTCCCTTGGTTTGTCCCCTCGAAGCGGTGGCATGGTCTCTGCTGGTGTTGGAATTGTGGTCAACGGCTGCTAGCTGTGTTCGAGCAACCATGCCCTTATACCAAAAGTGCTGCCGTTTGGGGAGGTATTTTGTCTGGATGCTGTAATACACCACATCAGGGTAGATTCGTTTCATATCTGACTTAATGCTTACATGACGATCAGTTGCCACAACCTTCACTTTAGCCCCTTTACCCAAGATATTTTCCATGCACCTTTTAAATTCTTCTCACTCCATAGCATTACCGCTGGTCACTTCACCGACATGAACAATTTGGAAGTCAACAATTTTGTCGCTGCTTTGATCAATCATGGTGTAGGTGCCATATTTTGCATTATGCCCTGGGCTGTCGTAGCGACCATCTCCAGAAAGCCACAACTCTGTGTCTTTCAACTCATTAAAAACAGAATTTTGTTCTCCCTCCCAAACTTCATTAATTACTGGAAATAAATATGAGTCTTGAATGTTACAAAATGTTTTCTCACTGAAAAAGTATAACCTTAATATTTCAGCTAATGTAGCTCTCGTGGTATAGGTAGTTCCTCTTAGAAGAATTGACGAGGACATCAATAAGTTTCCAGCAGCCATCCCTTTGATCATTGGCTGGCTGTTCCAGAAGTAGGTGTGGCCATTTATGCACTTAAGTGTAACAAGCAACAGAGAACCTCGGGTAGATTCATGCCTTGTTTTTATGCCTGCACCACACTCGGCATCTTTTAGAAAGCTTAACTAATTCTAGTTTGAACACAAGGAACTTAACATCATCTTGTGGGTTGACAGCTTTTGAGTCTTCAGTTTCTGACTGTGAATTGTTTGAGTGATGTGACTTTTCATCAGTTCCAAAGGTACATAAGATGGATCCTTTTGAGGTGATTTTCTGTTCATGGGAAGGGCCTCCTTCATCAGGAAAGATCACTTCCTCTCCGTAAAAGTTTTCATCAGTTTGAGTGCTTTGGGAGTCGGTTAATTTCATCGTAAGTTGTATTCCTCGTGTGTTAATTTGACACCCAACATCACTGGTAGACTTATGTGTCGGTACACTTTTTTGATTTGCTTTCAGCGGTTCTACATTAAGTTGCACCAACGGCCCCTCCAATGCAACCTCACTATGATCTATGCCCTGGGTATTTAGACAGCCAACTTCCGGGTCACTTTCACTTGAGGTACTAGGTACAGGTTCTGCATGTACACCCTGGGAATTTTGAGGGGCAGCTGCTGAATTACATTCAGTGGAGGTACTAGGTTCCACGACATTGAAAGGGGAAACATGCTGCGTCGTGTTGAGTGATGCAATATACTGTAAACCAAAGCAGACATTCCGTGACTTAGTTTGGTGTTCAGCAATTGCGTGAACGTTTCCGCTACATGTATGTAAGATTAGAAGGTACTTCGAGTTGCGTCTAGTCTCCTTCGCAGCCGTTATTAGGGTCGTCACGCAACGCTCCTCCCCACTAGTTAGTGGGGAGGAGCGTTGCGTGACGACCCTAATAACGGCTGCGAAGGAGACTAAGTTGCGTCTAGCTCCTCTTTCTTTGCCCTGTCATGCGAACGGTTTTCAGACGATAGTCGAGGCTTTTTCCTTGGTCGATGGACAAAAATTGTTGGTACAGCATCCGGCTTCAATGTACGCTTTGCTTTCAACCCAAGTAGTTCTGCTTTAAGATCACGTTCAAAGCAGTCAGGCTCGAAGTGATCGGAACACAACTGAGTATCTTTGGTAACCACAAAGTCAACTCGGGATATTTTTCCTAACCACTCTTGCAAGAGAGAACCTTCCGTAGGAAGACGGTGGAAACCTATTCCATGCTCCTTGCTAACAGATCGAGAATCATTCGAGCATCCAACAGCACAATAATACACCATTACGACGGAACAGAGGAAACGATCGATATGCACATAAAGTGAGTAGTGAGTCTTACGAAAAATGGACAGCTTTATTTAAACCAAAAAGATTGACGCAAGACCGGAAAAAATCTGCCTGAAATATTTGAAAAAGGTGCGATAAGACATTACCAGTTACGAAATGAACGTGACGTGCATTGTAAATCGAGCTCAGTATTTTACGAAATTGCAATCATGGGATTTCTGTCTAATGAAGCGCTGAACTAACTCGAAACGTAATTCAGTCAAACCCTAAAACTGTCGCCACGCTAATTATAGAAGCTTTTAGAAGCTGACAATGAATAATTATGCTATTAACTAAACAGACACAAGACCTGACAAATTCAATGTTTATTTCAAGCTCAGAACATATTCACTCACTACAGCTGTTGAAATCTGCTTTGAGTTCTCTCATTATACTAAGAGCAATTTAAGTAAACAAATATTCAAAACCAGGTGAATTTCATAATAATGAAAAAGGAAAATAAGTAGGCTCAATTCAAATTACCGGAGTAAACAATCCTATGCAACATACTTCATGCGGTGGGTGTTTCTATCGAACGCTCGCAAATGGTTTCGATTGCGGACGAAAACTCACGCTTCCATGTCCAAGCT